TTCTGCCGGGTATCAAGGAGGTTGGGGGGAGAAGGAGGAGGCGGGGAGGGTGGTAAGGAAGGGGATGAGGCAGGGGGGAGAAATGACCCAAGCATTGTATGCACATATGAATAATAAAAAAATAAAATAAAATCTACTATCTATATCAAAAGTTCCTTTTATGATGAGTCTAGAGAGGGAAATGAGCTATAATATCCTTTTAGAGAACTAAGATGCTACACTTACAATGACAAAAAAAGAAAAAAATAATTAACATGTCACATGAAGATAATGTCATGGGGCATCTTTCTTCATGACAATGTCAAGAACAATAAGTCATAATTTCAAAGTTTTCCAAAATAGTAGTGGTTAGATGGACAAGTTGGCAACCAACTCTTAATCACAGTTTACCACACAGGTTCAGAAATGGCTATGGGTGCTTCAAAATGTTGGCAAGCCCAAATTTCCACTGTTTTTGCTTATAAACATTAGAGTTTAACCCTGTGTCCTGATGTGGATTCCTGTAATAATGGACCCCACACTGCATAATTACTAGATGAACATCAGAAGAGCCACCTTTCAAATGCAGAATCCTCAAATTATGGGCTCAACACTTAGAACTTACTGCATTAGGTGTACTCTCATTGCCTGGCTGCATTCAGTCTAGGAACAAATGTACGTTTATTTGTTTTAGTAGGGGTGGAGTAGAGAAGTGGAAGAAGAAATGAAATAAGTATCACACATACTATTGTCATCTATCGGTAATATGGGGTGAAAATGGTAAATATTAACAAAACAATGGCAGTATTTAAATAAAATATGATTTGTTGAAAATCCTATCTAAGAACTGTAATAACATTTCAGGAACTCATTTGATCCAACTTTGTCACTAGAGACCAGTACACTTAAAACACTGTCCAAAGCTGATATTTTATATAATTTAAAAAAAAATTAGAGAAGATTCCATAATAATAACTTCATACATTAGTAATGTTCAGTAAATTTTAGTGTTTATGGTCATAAACTGAGGTATCTCTTTTGAAAATTCAAGATAAAATACTGATTTAACCATCTGAATATTTCAGGCAACTTGTTTTTCTGTCTTGAATGGTCCAGAAATGCATTTCAAGTTTTGATTTCTATTCAATGTGTAAGCATGTCATTCTTTTTGATACCATATGTTAATCTCTGTTACAGTTGAAATGCATTCTCTTTTTGTATCATCATTGGAAGCAGAAAATCTATACACCTGCTCTCACTGAAGATGGATGATGACAGTCATAAAAGCTCCCTCAAACCCTTTTTCTCTTTAGCTAAATGTGCCTCGTATATTTCGTTGTTTCTTATTGGATCAGTTTGCCTGAAATCCAATTCTGTCTGCTGCCTTCCTTCACTGTATTATATCTGAGTTCTACAAAAAGAATACAATAAGACAGCCTGATCAACTGGAAATAGGCAGATGGGCTTGGATGATAGCTTCGTCTTTACTGCTCGTGACTGTGCACATTTAGAAAAATTACTTAAATGTGGACAGCAAAGCACACATTGTGTGCTTTACATATGATTTTGTCAATTAAACCTCAATAAGGCTGAAAAAGTTTAATATGTGAAAAATTTAAAATATCAACATTTCTCAGCCTAAATTTCCTCATCTGTAAAATGAGAACAAAAACACACATTTAAAGAGCTGTTTTAACAATTCAGGACAAGGCATGCATAATTGAAATTATCAAGTACTAAGACACTAAAAGTTGACTATATTTCTATTTAAGAATGGGTATGACATGAAAAAAAATCACTTGTGATACTGTGTAAAATCCAGAAAATAATTTCACATGAAGAATACCATTTGGCAATCATTTCAAAAAGCTACTGGGCTAAACTGTGTGTGTATATACCCAAGCTTTTCTCTTGGCATTGATTACAGATCCCCACCAGAGCATCTGTATTTCTGTGACATGGTCTCCTAAAGAAAAATAAAATGTCAATTATTTCACTTCTTAACTGAATCACCTAATTGCAGAAGGACCATCTAGACTATGACACTGACCACCATAATTAGGTAAAAAGATCCTAAATTCCAATTCCCTTTCCTTTTCTTTTGAGAAGAGTTATGGAGAGAGAACTGCAAGCCATTTTAGTATAAGTACAATGCTAGTATAATATAACAGCATAGGACTTTGGCTGAGAGCCTACTCAAATAAGCCTCTGTGACATCCATCCACAGCAGACTTAAAATTACATAAAATCGAGTTATCATCTGAAATATAAATCCTGTGTTATCAATCACAAGCCAACTACATTTTACAGCATTAGAAAGCAAACTTCCTTTCCATCTATTGAGGTTAGAGTTCTTTAAATATGGTGGAAGATTTTTAGAAATCATTATGTCATTGTTGGCATAATAATGGTTACAGAAAGCTTTTAGAAAACATAAAAAAAGTGGGAAAATTAAAGGGCAAATGGAGGCAAACCGTCAAATAAAAATTCTTAGAACTCAGCCATTTACTATCAGGTCTAAAGAAGTACATTTTATGTTTTGTTATATTCTCCTCATATGTAGACTTTAGATCTAGGGCAAATGCAGCAATGTGGTTGGATCTGGATCACATGACAAGGGGAGAGCACATACAGGAGATATAGGAATAGGTAGAAAACCCAAAACATGAAAGCATTTGATGTCCCCACTCCAGAGGAACTAATACAGAAACCTTAAAGCAACAGAGGTTGTCATGAGAAGGGGATCAGGAATCAGTGTAAAGATCAGTTACAGATGAATTAACATGGGTCATACATAACACGTGTACACGAAAGCAATGCTAGGAATCTCTCTGTATAGCTACCCTTAACTCAACTAGCAAAAATGCTTTGTCTTCCTTAATATGCTTGTGTCTTTTCTTCAACAAAATTAGTGATAAGGCAGAACAGGAACTGCTTGGAACTGAGGGGGGGAGGAGAGGAGAGGGTAGGGGAGGGGGACGGGGGGAAATGACCCAAACAATGTACACACGTGAATAAATGAATAATAAATAAATAAATAAATAATAAAAAATAAAAATTATTCTTCCTATACATTCAAATAACTTCTGGACTACTCCAGTAAAAGCTCTGGTAATGATGGGTAAATAAAGCGAGAGTATAGTTGGGAGTGATAGTGGCTAAAAATTAAGCTCTGTTTTGTTTTTACACTGTAGGATATTTTTAAATCATTATTTTGAATCCAAATTTTTGGCTCCTGGAAATGCAGATAACATCAGTTGTACAAATGATCATCTCATGAAGACAATCATTGATATTGTTTCTTGCCTATTCCTTATGAGTAAGTTACCAAAATAAATATTCCTTAAGACTTTGTTTTCCTTTTCCTTTCACATTGTTCACACTAGAATAATTTTTGGGTTGGCAGGGTAGCTCAAGTGGTAGAACTCCTGCTTAGCAAGCTTGAAGTCCTGGGTTCAAAACCTCAGTATCACAAAAAAGTAGAATAATTTATTCTAGATTGATTATAAGATTACATGGAATAGCTGAATATTGGGGAAAATGCTGTTTTTCATAATGTAAAATTTCATTCTGTACCTTTACAGAGCATAGGATATTTTGGTTCATAGTGGCAATTTAGAAAGTCTTTGATTTTTTTAAAGGAATAATCCCTGTAGCTGCAGCCAGTTTTCTATTTTCTCATGCTTGTGTATGTGTATGTATAATATATGCTCATGTGTATTTTAGACTCCAAATGTTCCTCATCTTTCATAGTTTGATCTTTCAAAGTACTACTTGATAACTCCTATGCAAATAAACTTTAAATTCAGGTAGAACATTTCTAAAATTTTCTGCTCACCTGGATCGACACACAATTATGCATGTATTTTTAACCTAACATACCTGTGTGGAAATGCATTCCTGTGTATTGAAATGGCAAAAATTAAAAAAAAAAAAAACAACCAAAATCCTTGCTTCAAATTTTATTTGAAATAAATCTATGAGCATAGGAAAAAAAAAAAGTACATTTTACACATTTATTTTTTTAACTAGTTTTACTTTGGAATTTTAGAAAGCTCCTTACATCATCATTGTCGCTGTCCAAACTTCCCTTCTTCTTTTTCTTTTTCTTCTCGTCTTCTTTTTTTTTCTTGTCCTTTTCTGGAATGACATCATCGAGGAAGCTGAGGTCATGCTGAGAAAAGAGGTAGTCCATACCTTTTCTGACAGCTACAAGTGCCAAAATCTGGAAGGGAGAAAAATTAAAAGAATGGAAAAAAAATGACATAAAATGAAGTCAGAATGAGCACTAATATTGCCCCATCAAAGTCAGCAGAAGCCTGTTTAGTCTTTGTATAAGGTAGAACTCATGAGTAGGTTTATACTAAATAGCCCATAATCATTTTCTTCAAAGGGATAATCGTTTCATGAAAGTCTCAGTTGAAACTCACTTAGTTTTCTGCACTGAAATGTATGATCGCATTCAATTAGAATTTTAATGCAAAAGTATTATTTTTCAAAATCATTTCCTTCCATGTTAGATGTTAAATAAAACAACTAAAACTTAAAAGGCAAAAAAACGGCCTGCATATGATTTCTAACTATTCAATTTTTTAAAATTATATAGCTTTTTGAAAATCAAGAAAATCAGTACAAGACATGGTACATGGTACACTAGGATATCTTTATTGTGGCATGGCTACAGAGTTCAGCCTTAAACTTGGCATGATACACAAAACAGAAGAGCCTCAAAAACTGAGCTTCTCACCTCACTCCATTTCTTCTAATGGACCAGATGATTTTTCTTAAAAATCCCCAAACACATCTATTATTTGGACTAAAATGTACTTTATTTTTATTTAGATTGGTTCTATTGTAAAGTATTTAAAAAATAACTGATGTACACTGGTGTCAACATTTGGCTTACACTTTAACTTTATTATCAATGCTCAAAACAACAACAATGCCACCCATTTCACTGAAGAGTTAATGGTGGCTCAAGGAGGTTCACTGACCAGTATGAACTTGAGCCAGTATTTTGAATTCAGGTGAGCATGATTCTAAGGTTCATCCTAGAAGTCATATGCACAGGAAACTTAAATTACAACTGGTCAAAGTGATGATGTCAAAGCTGAAAAATATTAGGGTCACACCTAGAAGACTGATGTCATCCATATCACAGTAACCACATAATATCAGCATAGGAAAGCCTACCATGACTGGAAAAATGATAGCAGCCACCGTTGACTTGAGGATCCAGAGCAGGGCCAGACACAACACCTGCAGGAACGTGAACAGGTGGACTCGGCGCAGGGGGACATGACGCAGGTAAATAAAGTCCGGCTGATGCTTTAGAGGCATCAGAAGCAGCTTCAGACGATCCATGAACTGGGTAGGAAAGGGGAAGAGTCCAACTGCATTACTTCAAGAGCTGATTTGCAGTCATTTCCACTATGCCTAACTAACCACTACTGATTTATATTCTATAATTTAGGTAAGCAGTGTTCTTTTCAAAGGACAAAGCACTGGTTAGTGAGTGCAGAAATTAGTCTAGCACAATTAGACCATAAAACAAGTTTTTAAAATTTTTCCTACTTTTTGCAGGAATATTATGCAGATATATGAGATAAAATGGCCACCAAAGACTAAAATCACAAGACAAAATGTAAATTCTGCTGCTTATCTCTTAGCTTCTATTTTTACTCTCTGAGTCTCAGGAGAGAGGATTTTATGCCTATTTAAGCAATGATATACTTGAAGGAAGAAATCTAAGTCATATATCTTACTATGCCTGAAAGACAAGAAGATGATGCTATCATCACATACATTTCAGGGATTTTTTAAGGATACAAAGGAAGCAGTCAATCTAAAAATGGGAAGGCACTGATAGTTCCATATTTATTTATCTGTGGCATAACTTGACTAATACATCCAACAATGTATCACTATTTCTTTTGAGAGAAAAGCCACATGAACATTACAATAAGACAACTACACATGGACAACTAGATAGGTGAATCTGAGAGAAACTAGCATACAGTCATTTATAAATAGGTATTGAAATGACAATTGAGTATCTACGAGCCAGGTGCTGCATGCAAAGAATAACTGCTGAGTTGACATTGATGATTGTGAACAGATGAAATTTAAGAACCCATTGTAAGGTTTTTTTAGTGAAAGATGCTTGGTAAGCAGTTATTGAGTTGAATCATTATAACAATTTGGAGGTAATATCTGTATTTTCTTTCTGAAGGGAAAGGAGAAATGTAAAAGTAAACTACAATATCACAATTTCTCTGGAGTAATATCCTATCTATTTCTCCCATTAGAGATATTTTTGGCTTGGAACCCTTCTCATTCATAAAGATTTATAAAGATTGCTAAATCAATCTAAGGTAAGATTTTTCTCCTAAGAGAAAAAAAACAAGAAAAAAGTAAAGTGAAAAGGCATTAGAGACAATAGTAACACTGAAAAATTTAAGAAACTTACTAGCTGTCTCTCAGTATGGTTTTCTATTATTATGACAGGCTGATTCTTTTCTTTTCTTTAATAGACATGTAGTAAGTTCCAACCACCAATAAAACCCCTGGAACATACAGAATCTAACTTCTGATCTAGACCAGGTCATTAAGGACAAGCAAAAATAAGAACTATCAGTTTACGGGTCATATTAGGCCCATATTCTTCCATTTAGGGGAATAAAGAATGTTGAAAATGGAAGATAAAAGGAAATATATTTACAAATTTATACTTTCTCAAAGTTTCATGGGCACAAATAAATTCACATTTACATTCAACTGGTCAGTCTATGAAGAACCACTTTGTATTTTGTAACAAATATCCCAAGAACTCTATTCAATGGACCAAAACAGGGAAAAGTAAAATAGCCCTTTTTCTTTTGGGGATCTGGCCACTTGTCCAACTCTATCTGACATTAAAACCAAGTTAATCTAAATTCAATAAATGAAAACAAGGACTATTTTGAAGGAGTTCAAGTAAATTCTTATGATGTTCACAGAACATGCAGTCTTTTCTCATTAAAACATTACCGAGTGCTAAATAAAGCTACAATTAACAAGGTGCCAGAAAGCAGAACTTCCAGTTTCCTGGTGCCAATTAAATTAAACCTCAATTGAAAGACAAAGTCCCTTCCAAAGTCTCCCCTAATGTTTTTTTTTTGTTTTTTTTTTTTAATGTGGGTCAGTTTTACCAAAGTTGTGAACAGCTAAAGTTTTTGACAAAAACAGTACATAATACACATTGGCTTTAATCATTTATTGGTAAAAACTTTTGATCACTGAGCTCAGCCATTTGGAATGCAGAAAGAATCACTTGTTGTTAGTATAGGGTTAAGGCAAGAGTATAAATACTACCTTGAAGAGCACACCGAAAGAAGATGTCCTTCTTTAGATGCTTTTGCACAACCCCCCCCTCACCTCCACCACAGAAAAAAAGAGGAGTGATGGGGAGAGAGGAAGAAGAAATGGAAAGAAAAACTACAGCTCTCCTACTTTCCTGGTCAAATGATTTTTAACATCCTTTTAAGAATAAGTATTTATGATAACATTTGTTGATACCAGCTAACTCTGTTGATTAAATTAGAAATGAAAAGCCGGTGAATGGTGGAGAAATAATAAATATATTAGAGACTCATCTCTAAAATAATGATTAGCACTTTTCCTTAAAGATATATTGCTAGATCTTTCTTACAACTAGAAAACTTACTCGGATTGATATGGAAAACTTACCTGCACCCCATTAAGGGAGGCCACCCCCATGTATAGGAACACACCATACAGTACAGGCATAGGGATAAACTGGGAAGGAAAAAAATGGATAAAGGTTAAAACCAACAAAAAGAAAAACATTAAGGGAGAGAAATACTTTAAAGACTAAATCTGAAACTGAAAGAATAAATAATAACATAGCAACCCATAATTAGTGTGCTTTATTCACCAATTGAAAAACTTCTGAAGAAATAAATGAAGGGGACATTAATTTCCATTAGATGATTGCTTTTTTTACAATGAACAAACATGACCTTAATAATAATTTTAAGTAATGAAGAAAAAAGTCTTGTTTTCCTTTGCACTTAAAAGCAATAGACTATGTAACCCAGATACTTGCATGGGTTATGAGGTAGAAATAGCAGTAGCAAGTTGCCTCACTCTGGAGGCCAAGATCCTTTCAGAACAGTCTATTGAATTTTACCTTAATAATTTTTGTCAAATGTTCTATCAATTTGGTGTGTGAATGTCTCCTTCAATAAAATAAACATCAAACAATTTTCCCCTTTCTTCTCAGGAATATTAAAAGGACAAAATAATGAGAACCCTGTTTCTTAAAAGGAGCATGGAACATCTGGAAGCAATTAATTACACACATGGGTTAATACACATCTTTAAAACTGAATTAATACATTTCCATGCATTATTTAGCAGAAACCATTTACATTAATGTGAAGCACTTTTAACAATAAGAAGTTCTAATGTGATGTGTGTAAATTTTAATCTATTCCTAGACCTGTGAAATGTAAGCAAATCAAGCATGATTCTGATTGTGGGAAGTCTTCCATCTGGACAACAAAATGTTGGATATTGAAAAGAAGCTCAAGTAATTTCAGGATTTTTCAAAGCCAAAATACTAAAACCTCAAGTCAATTAAGGCCAGTCTTACCAAAAAGGAGGCTGTCTTTTATAGCTTTAGAGTGATTTTTAAAGAACTACCGTATGCATGAAGTGAAGCACAATTCCTAACAGTGTCTTTCTGTGATTTCCTGAAGCAGTTCTTTCTCTAAGACCTTTAGGTCACCATGTGAGAGCTAGCAAATTCTAAAATGCCTCTTGACTGTGTCCAACTGTTACTGCTTAGCCACAGGAGTGGTTAAACTTGTGTGGAATAAATATATTTATTTCTATAATAAGCAAAAGCTTCTTTTTAAAAAGACTAACATTTTCAAACATAACTAATTTTTATCTTGAGCTCAGAAAAAGAAAAAAGTGACCTGAATGTTGAAGGGTGTAGGAAGGACATGCTGTTAGACAGGAAGCCAGTGTGTCATAATGCCCAGAAGTCAACACAGAGAGCTGGACATATCAAGTTCAAGCCACATGAGATAGATAAGCCTCTATTTTTTTTTAAAGGAATATAAATGCTTCTATTCCTTACAGTTTTTCTGTATCAGTTTACCAAAAATAAAACTAACAAAGAACCATTTTATTACTTTGACTCATTTTTTTAGGCCTCTTACACTTTTCCTAAGTTTGTGATGACTTCTTATTAATTCATTTCTAATTCTCAGAATAAGATGAGAGAGGTAGAATGAGAAAAAGAAGTATAGTCCATTCATGAAAAACTACACAGAATTCCTATAATAGTGACTTTTTAATATGGCAAAAGCATTTTCTAGCTTGAAAGAAAGTGACACAAAGGGTCCACCTCTTGCCTTATCCTCACTCCTTATCTGAGCTTAGCCAAATATTCCTCTAATGTACTTCTAATGCCAAAGTGAAGGAAAGTTGTACTTGGGTCTTAGGTCCATTCTCTCTGAATTTATCTTTAAAGTTAATTTACCTAATCATCTACCACAAAATAAAAGCAGAAAGTACTGTTAACACAAAATGGCATGAGGTGTGGGTAGGTAAATAGTTTTAGATAGGAAGATGATTTTCGGGTTCAGAAATACAAAGGTTGCATGTTTTCTCTCATATGTGGAAGACAGATCCAATATAAATACAACCATTATCATATATACATATAAATATATACAGAACATGTTTCCAAAAGTGGGACTGTTAGAGGAGATGAAGGGAGGATGAAAAGAAGAAAAGAATGATAGCGTGAATAACAACGAAATACACCACATCTGTGTAGGAACAAGACACAGTGAAAACTGTTGAACAATACAGGGTAGGGGAAGTTAGGGGAAGAGTAGTGGATGGGATTAGACTAATTTAAACACAATATATTTACAGGCAAAAAAAACAAGGCAAAACTCCACTGAACAATCAACAGACAATCAATGAAAAACAGGAATGGAAAACAGGTCATGTTAAGGGAAGGGCATGAACAGAAGGGTAGGATAAATGAAGAGAGCAAAGGAGGGTGAATATAGTTTGTGTACTTTCTATACATGTATGAATATGAAACACTGAAACCTGTTAAGTCACTTTAAGTAGGGGGATGGGGTAGGAGAGAGAATAATGGAGGGGATGAACTAAAATGGGATATAATACATGTATATATGGAAATGTTACAATGAAATCCCACATATAAGTACATATACTAATAAAAATGTTTAAGAAATAAATAACATTCTTTATTGGGAATGAAATAGTATAAGGAAGGCTTTAAAAAGTCAATTCTTGCTCAACTTCAATATGATACAAATGCCTTATGAGATTCTCAATTTTCTTTATAATTGCACATCTCAATAAAAAAAAAATCTTCCAATATGGAACTGCTAGTGAAACCTGACAGAATCACTGGGTTAGAGAGTATTTTTTTTTATTGAATTTGGTTCATGAGTCACATCAGAAGGTCAATTGTTAAAAATTAATCACACCAGAATCATTCATCACAGTAGAAATTTCTCAAAGGGAGGAAAAGAATGTGTTTATAAAGGATGAGATCCTATCATAAGTTAAACCAGGATAATACAAATAGTAATAGCAGGTAGGCATTTTTACAAAGAAAGACAGGAGAAATTAAAACAAAAAAAAACACAAGGCTCATAGGCACACTGAGATTGCCAAATGATAAAATTGTGCAAAGAAAATTATGTAAGTAATTAATCATTCCCAGAAAGCCAAGAAACAGGTATAAAGTAATATTACATTTAACAAACACTAAAAATGAAAATATTAAATGACTGATCCTATAACTAGGAGAATAACAAAACTCAGATTAAATTAAAGTAAAATTTAACATATTCATATTACATCCCCAAAGTTTCAAATTCTGGTGCATGTGGTTCTATACTTTTTCACTTGTACCTCCCATTGATTTGCTGCTTGTAGTAGATTATTCCCAGAAGGGAAGATGTGAAAGGGGAAAGAATAAAGATAAGGGGTAAGAATAATAAGAAGAGATTACAATTGTCCAACACGGAATTCAATATAGGACCCCCCCCAAGCAATATAATGGTCACTGTGTGTGTGTGTGTGTGTGTGTGTGTGTGTGTGTAAAACCCAGAATGAGATCCTGATGTCCTGATTAAAAGTATGGGTATACAAGTCAAACAGACCTGGGTTCAAATTGTAGCTACCAGCTATGTAACCTTGAGAAAATGATTAGTTCTCTTCTCAGAATCCTCAACTCAGAAAGAGGCTATGAAAAAGACTACATAGCAGAAAAGATCTGATCCAGGGCATGACTCATAATAGATAGTCAATAAATAATCAATGTGGTATTGACATCAATGTTAGGTGTGGCTAGGACACAGACCAGAGGATGTCTGAGAGGTCAGACATGAAGCCCTATTCTATTGACGCTCCGCTGTATTGCCCTTTCATTTATAACTGTCTTCAGCAACATGTTATGAAAATAATGTCCTCATTCTCTTAAGTCTTAAAAATTTAAGCTGATCAAAAAGCTGCTGACTTGCCACCTGGGCCCTAATCACTGAAGAAACTGGCGTGAGGTCTGATGAGGAACCAGTGAAAATGCCATATTTTCCTCCACGTAATAGGACTCAAAACTGGACCAAAGAAGCTGGGAAAGAGGATCTCATGGGAAAAGAAAGTAAATGACCTCCTTGAGGGCAAATATCATGTTTTATTTTTAAAAGGTGGCAAACCATGAGGATTATGAGATTGGCTTTGTGCCAAAACTATCCGAATTCAAATCTTGATTCTATCATTTAGGAATTTTGTGCACTGTTGTGCGTTATTAATAATTTCTCCTATCTGTAAAATGGAGACAATTATTAGTAACCTTTTTGTAGATATCAGGGGACTAAAATTTAAAAATCTGAGCTGAGCCCTTAATATGATAACAAAGTCAATAAGTAGTAGCTACTATCATTGTCCCACCACCACCACCACCATCACCATCATTTCTCTCTGTTTTCCTGGCACTGGAGCAGAGTGTAGAATGCAACAAGTATCTGTTAAGTACAAATTAAATGTTATGACCTACACTTCAGAATACTAAACAAATCTTAAATTTTGGCCACTCCTCATGTTAAAGATAAACTAATTCAAGCAAAGGCAAGAGAAGTAGCTGTGAACTTTATTTGATCTTTATTTTTTTGACACTTGCCAGAAAAATAGGAAAAGTAAGCTCAAGGATCTGCTTTTCATCTTTTGCTGCACTATAGTCACCACCAGCTTCCCCATATAGCATACTTGCAATAACATACACTATTTCCACTGCAGAAACACCACAGAAGCCATTTAGGCAGCCTGGGAAGCCAGTTATTCTTGCTTCCCAGCAGTTCTGTACTGAATCAGTGGTGAGATTCCACTCTTAGAGGCATGTAAAACTGTAGCTGGCTAGGGTCAAGGGGTATCCTTGTGAACTTAAAGTTGCCACACTGTAATTCCTTACATTCTTCCACATGAAAGACAGATTTCGGCACAGAGATCAAAACAGAGGTCATAAACTTCATGTTCAAAGTAAGCTTGCACAAGCAAGCAAGGGGAACAGCTACCTATTGCTTGATGCAGGAAAGAAAATTGCTAGACCATTAAAGTTGTAAAGACAAGGTGCTGATCCATTTTACTAAAAAAATGTAAAAGTCACAAATTTCTCTCATTCATTCATTCTCATTCATTTGATCTAACTTTCAAAGGCAACTTTTAAGCAAAACCATTCTCTAAAGTGGTCACCTGTTACTTTAAAAAACACATAGTCACATGGAGGAAAAATGTTCCCTCCTCCAAGGTAACCTCTGACATCACTTTCTGTATGAATTCTGAGGTCAATGATTAATTGTGAATTTTCCTTAGTTGTAACTTAGGTTTTACTTAAACTGTACCCTCAACGTCTGCTTCTTATAGTGACTTCTCAAATAAATGAATTAACAAGGAGTCTGATAAGTGGACCTAACCTCTTCAACCGTCAGTGATGAGAAGGGTACATGAGCTACAGTCTGCTGACCAGAACACAGATTTTCCACAATATATTGTGAGCTATATTGACAAAGCAGTCCTGGCATTTGAACTCAGGGCTTCATGATTTGTTGGCAGGTACTCTACCACTTCAGCCATGCCCCATAGCTCTTTTTGCTATAGTTATTTTAGAGATAGAATCTTGCTTTTTGCCCAGGCAGGCCTGGACATGATCCCCCTATTTTAAGCTTCCCACATCACTGGGTTGACAGGCATGCACCACCACCCCCAGCATTTTTTTGTTGAGATGGGGGTCTCACACATTTTTTTGCCTGGGAGGCCTAGAACTGCAGTCCTTCGATCTCAGCCTCCAAAGTAAGTAAGATTACAGATGTGAGTCACTAGTTCCCAGCTCATTTTGGGCAAAACCTTTCTTAAAAATATTTACTTAATTAACTTTTTCACTGATGCATTCAGTGACACTTTGGGTTACCCAAAATTGCCAAGGGAAATAGGCCCAACCATGGATACTAGCAGTGGAAGAGGGTGAGCCAAAACATGAACTAGTAAATACCCCAAAGAAAAAGCAAGCTCATGCTCACTGATCCCCTATACTTCTCTTTCTCTGTATTCTAATCCCTTCCTGCAGATACTAAGGTGAAAAGTCAATTTGCAGTAACATTCATACAAAAGAGGAGTTTTAAATACATCAGGCTTTTCTGAATTAGGACTTTATACTGTACTAACAAAAATAAATTTTATACAAATGAAAGACAAAATGGGGGTAAATGGTGATCTGTAAATTTGAAGTGTTGAAAAGATTTCTGTCCATTTATCCCTCCCAGTGACTAAGCACTACAAGATTCCATAGGAGAAACTTTGCAGTGAGCCCACTTTTAGGGAATCTCAGGGGATAGTCATTTCTAGCAGAGTCTTCCATAATATGGGGTCACAATTGTCAAAAATGAACTCCCTAAACTTGATCTCCCCAGGTGACATCTCATTGTGAGGTATAACTGTTGTCAGGAACTTTTACTGGCTCAATGCTGGTGTCTACAGGAGACAGATGAACATAAAGCACTGGGTGGTGGATCTGATACCGGGAAAGCCACTTCAAGCCTGCCCCTAACTTGCCTTCAACTGGCAAAGGTGACAATATTTCCCTCTGTCCCTGAAAAAAACGTAGATTCTATATTCTTTTAAGGTCCTCGGCACATAACCAGAAACAATTTCCCTGAGGTTATTTTTAACCTTAAATCTCCATGTGTTACCTGAGAAACATCATCCTTTATCCATGAATCTAGTCAGAAATTAATTTAACCAAACAATTGTTTGTCCTTGGAAACCAAGGACAAAAGAAATAAATATTTTAACTATTTATCAAGTATTTTGTACCTAATGTAGCTTATTCGTTAACTTACAAGTGTGATAGTTCCACTTTTCTAAAATTCACTCAATTGGCCACTGTATAAAATTTGCAAATCTGAGAAAAGTGGAGGGCTTTTGCTTTTCACTATCTGTACATATGTATTGTTTGAATTCTTTAGAAAAATGTACTGCTCTATTACTTGTATAATTAAATGAGCTTTTAAAAAACCTTAAAAATCAAAGGCTCGGCAAAGTGGCTCACAACTGTAACTCCAGCTAGTTGGAAGGTAGAGATTGGGAGGATCATGGTTTGAGGTCAGCCTGGGTAAAGAGTTCATGAGACCCTATCTCAATTAATTAACTGGGTGTGGTAAGGCATGGCTGCCATCCCAACTACATGGGAAGCCCTTGGTAGGAGGATCACAGTCTGAGGATAAACCCAAGACCCTCCTTGGAAAACAAAGCATAAAAGGGGTGGGGATGTGGATCAAATGGTATAATGTCTGTCTAGCAAGTGTGAGAATCCAGTAATGCCAAAAGAAGAATGCCTGAAAATTAAAATTGTTTTAAAATAAAAATTTTCGGCTGGGTGCTGGTGGGTCCTGTCTGTAATCCTAGCTACTAAGGAGGCAGAGATCAGAAGGATCACAGTTTGAAGCCAGCCTAGGCAAATAGTTTGTAAGACCCTATCTCGAAAGAAACCCATCACAAAAAAGGACTGGTGGAATGCTCAAGATGTAGGCCCTGAGTTCAAACACCAGAACAGTGAAAAAAAAATTCAAGAAAAAAAATTGGAAAGATATTACATTGATTGATCACAGCTAACAGATCTATGGGTGATTTTTGTGCTTTGTACTGTGGTACAAAACATAAATACAAGTTACCAATAATTGGTTAGAGGCTGGAGGTATGGCTCAAGCAGTAAAGCACCTGTCTACTCAGGGCAAAACCCTGAGTTATAACACAGTAACACCAAATAAATAAATAAATAAAAGAAAAACATTGGCTAGCATTGTTTCTATAATAGAAAAAAGAATAAAAAATTTGTATTGCAAAAGAAAATTGGAAGCTTCATGAGCAAAAACTATTAACAATAGTGTTTTGTCTAGTTTTGTTTTTCAAAAGGCCTTCAGATATAGTTTATATTTGTCTGTCTAGGAAGATACCTACCCTGACAACCAAACCTATATGTTGACTCATAACCTTCTAAATATTCTACCATTACTATATTAAAACATTCCTCTCTAAAGCTCACTCATGGTATCCAGGAGTCTAAGGGAGGGGCAGGATTTAGGTACAAGGAAGTACAGGATAATGGAAGAAAGGATGGCTATGAAAACAAGTAGAGTAGAAACTGTGAATGTATACAAGGGAGAAAGATTAGTTCAATTGAACTGAACGAAACTGTCTTTCTCAGGTCAGAAAGTTTGAATACTGGTAGTTGTATGTGGCTCAACCAAATAACTGCAAAAATAATAGTAAGGGAAGGGATAAAGGGGTAAGAAGGAAATCAAGATAAACAATTTTCCTAAGTCCTCTTTCTATCTGAGCCCTGCTTCAGTGTGTTACAGAATCTTGCAAATATTTCACTCTTCACATGTCCAATGATCAGTCAGTGTTCTGAGAAAGAGGAAGAGGCAAGTGTTTTACATATTTACCTTCAAGATGGGAGCCATAAAAACTGACAGACCAGTCAGAATAAACACAAGGGTTCCAGTGACTCTTTGTTCCCTGAAACCAAATCAAAAGATTACCAATCTACCTCTTGTTTTCATAAACATGCGCTTGTCTTTTCACCTCAAGGAAAAAAAAAAAAAGAAAAAGGAAAGACTATATACATTGACCAGATCAATGTTTGTCTAAAACAGCAAAGGTGCTCATATCATGTAAGTTAATACCTCAAGAACATCATATGAATCAACATAACTGTAAAAACTCAAAACTAGTACCATATGTGACTTGAATTCATGAAGAAAGAAGTGATTCAGCTAAAGCTTTTGCCCCTTTTAGAATCAAGAAAGAAAAATCGCTTGCTCTTGGTCCATCAATTACTGGCCTCCTTGAAGCCCTTATTTTTTAAACAACTTGTCTTGTTGTGTAATTACACCTTCTTTCATAGGAGACAGATATTACATTGTCCCGCATTCTAATTAACAAACAGCTCAGGGAAATTTCATGAGTGCAATAAATCACACCAGTCTAATTTCCAAATCTATAACAACAAAAGTACTTTTTAACAAATATGATTCCCATCCAACACCCCTCTCCCATCTTCCAAGAAAGAATCACCCACTGTTGAGGCGTGGGAAACGGTGGCTCAGTCATGTGAGCTATGCACCCAAGCACTTAAGAGCAGGGTTTACTTCAAAAAGCACCTGACAGAGCATAAGGTCTTCTACCACTGCCCTTCATGGCTACCCAAATTTAACACTTCAAGGTCAAACTTTCTCAATGCTTATGGGGACAGAAACTAGACTAGAAAAAAAAAGAATTCCTTTTCCTCATAGAATCTTGGAAATCATAGTAGACTCAAAGGTTTTAGGTTCTTTACATATATTTGAAATACAGTAGGAACTATAGCACCAAGATCAACTTTGTGTTAAAGAAAATGAATGACCTGTTTGCATTTTTCTGTTGTATCATTTAATCTTTTCATAATCAAAGGAAATTCATGTACCATGAGAAGTGAACTAAGAGTTATTAAAAACTCTCTGATAAAAAGTTACTCTTTTCTGGAACAGAAAATTTAGGAATAAATTAATCATCACTAGCCCTCCGTCCTCCAAATTCACCCATTTCTTTATGCTTGACAACACTGATGCATGAGCAGTGTGTTCTGTAGAGCCATTTTCCCTTGACTTAACACACCTTACTCCTAGAAACTTTGGTTGTTCTCCAGGTGCAGAAGTCTCTGTCTCCATCTTCAAACTGTCAATGTGAGCAATGGAGATGACGGTAGCAGCCACATACCACGGAAGAGCCATGAAGGAGCACACCACCATGAGGATGGCCACCCAAAAGAGATCCAGGTGATACCCAGCTCCTTTCTGCAGAAATAACAAATGATGTGGAGAAAATATTCATATTTGTCATCTAGCTGTACTTCCAGATGGGAATTAACATTGCCAAAAGAAATCCAATCATTTTGTTCAACAAAAATATCTACTAGAAGGTATGCTCCTTGAGCAAAATGACCTTATCTTCTTCATATTATTCTCCCTGGCAATTAAACACACAGCTGCCTCCTACAGCTGCTATAGCAGATACTACCTCCACCACAGTTCTGAATAATTGTTAACTTAGATTTAGGTCACTGCTTCACTTAGTATTTGTTGTTAATTAACCTCCCTGTCCAATTTTGTAATCAGAAAAATGAATATATGACCCCACTTTTGAAGAGTTATTGGGACTGTTCACTGAAGTAAGAGAGGCAAAGGGTAGTAGCTGGTATACAGTAGGAGTTAAATAATGGCGGTGGTAGCCATAGTGGTATTGGTTGTTATTGTTAAGCATGATAAACACTTTAAAAGAAGACGCTCTGCCTTCTCTGCTTGGCAGTATTTAAACAATATGCTGTTTATTTTAGATGGCACTCAGTATATGTAAAGATCCCAAAACAACCAGGAGATATGTAGAAGACCATTTCTCACCTTTTATAGCTTATGAAAATAACTACTTGACAACCTATTACTCATCATCATAAAGATAATTAATACCTCCTTAACTCAAAGAGGATAATTTCAAACATCACCCAATGGTCACAATAACATTTACTGACTGGGATAGGAGACAATCTAAAAAAGGTCTAGCTCTTTTATTCACTAAGTAAATACTGTTAAATGTATCCACATGTTATTCTATGGTTATAGTTCTCTGTTCTATTTATGAAGAAATCAAATGCTATACCCCTATGGAGCCTGAGAAAATAGAGCCATTCATTTTCACAGCATGGAAGCAGGGTATGACCAATTTGAAGGAATAGAGAGGTTGGCTTTAAAGAGTGAAATGTGAATTATACTAGGAACCCAGATCCTGTTACAGTTTGTCACAACACTACTTTCCTTTCACTGAAATGCCAAGATTTTGCCCTTGGATTATTCACATGGGTATAATCATGCTCCTAGAGAATGAACAGCAGGCAAGGGGAACTGACACAGGCAAGGGGAACTGACACAAACAAGAAAAAAATATATTCATTTAGTCCATGTTTGACAGAAAACAAAAATCTATCTGCTCATAAGACAAATAGGTTAATATGTATGTGACCAGTTCATTTCAGGAAAGCTTGACTGTTTCAATTGGGAATTGGGGTAAGGTAGGGAAAAAGAAGACAAATATGGATGAGCTGAAATAAACTTATTCAGTCACAATGAATGAAGTGACTACATGATATATCTGAGATGTCAGTCATTCAATCTTTCAACAAATACTGATTGGAAACTTAGTATTAGTCATGATTCCAGCTGATGGTGACACATTTGTGAATAAAACAGAGAAAAAAAGGCTGCGGGTGTGACTCAAGTGGTAGATTGCCTGCATAGCAAGCTAGCAAGTACGAGGCCCTGAGTTCAAGCCCCAGTGCCAAATACACACACACACATACACACACACACACACACACACACACACACACACACACATCAAACAGCTCAGTATGGTGGCACAAGTTGATAATCCTAGCTGCCTGGGAGGCACAGATCCAGAAGATTATGGTTTGAGGACAGTCCAGGCTAAAAGTTCAAGAGACTCTATCTCAACCAATAAAAGCAGGGCATGGTGGCATCAGTCTATAACCCTAACTGTTCGAGAAGCATAAATAGGAGGATTGCAGTCCAGGCCAACTTAGGGAAAAAATGAGACGCTATCTGAAAAATAACCAAAGTGAAAAGGCTGGTGGCATGGTTCATGTGGAGAATACCTGCTTAGCCAACACGAGGCCCTGACTTTAAATCCCAGTATCAACAAGAGAGAGAGAGAGAAATCCTGTCATCGTCGAGTTTCCATTCTACTGAAGGTGGCAACAATAAGGAACATAAATGAACAAACCATATATTATCTTAAATAGTAATCAGCACTAAGGATTGCTATAGAAGTTGGGTTGCACACTGAGATGAATGGGAAGCCACTGAAGGGTTTTAAGTGGAATAGTGTCATGATGTGTTATGTTCTAAACATTCTGACTACTGAGTTAGGAACAAATTGAGTAGGATCAAGGACAGGAGGACTAAATAGGAGGGTGTTACCACAATTCATGCACGAGAATAATGGTTAGAACCAGAGTGGTGGCAGTGAAGATGGCAAGAAGTGGTTCAGTTCTGATTGTACTTGAAGGTGAAACCTAAAGATTTGTTCCCTACTGCATGTGCATATGACTTATGACTTTGCTATAGGTCATTCATGACACATGGGCTTCAATAAATGTACCAACACCTACAGCCTCAGCTTTCAGTTCTCCTCTGCTTGAACCCTACACCAACACTACTATCAACCACAAGCAGTTCTTCAATTGTGTTTCACTCACTAATGGCCTTTGTCTCACTGCCATATAGCCTCATCTATGTGTAAAAATGGCTACTCTTCCTTCTTCTCTTTGGCTCAGTCTTATCCACCCAGAAGACCTTAAATTAGCTTTTGTCTTTCCTAGTGCTTTATTCTGCCTTGCCCTAGATGAGACAAGTGAGTCAAACTGGATCTTCTCCTTTATGTATCCCTGTTTTTCATTTTATGCCTAATCACAAGACTCACCCTTATGTCTGAAGTTATATGTGTATTTATCTATCTTTGTTATTAACTATAAATAACATGAGGATTTAGACTCGGTCTTTTTTTTTTTCTTTGTATTCTGAACATCTTAGCAAAGTGCATGATGCACAGTTGTTTCTTAGTAAAGGTTTATTTTAAAATAGAATGACAACAAGCATTTACATGTCTTCCTATTTGGTGACTAAAAACTCCAATTAGCCATACAAAAAAGGAAAAACTTGGTAATTTGTAGAAATGTGAAACTTTGTGGGGAGGATAACAGGTGAAAATATCACATGGTTTTAAGCGCTATTGAGACTAAATCACTCAAGTCCATGCTAGAAGTACCAAATAGGGCAGAATCCCAAATCTTGTAACCAAAGAAACTATAATATCCTAAGGATTTGTAAATGACCACACCAATGGATCAAAGGAATAGTTGCTATAGAAAAAGCCCACATGCTACAGGGAGCCACTGCGATACTTTTTGCTCTTTAAAATAAAAGATGTTTGAGTCATATATACTGAAGACTAGCAAAGAGGGGCCATATAATACCAAAGAGCATGGAATAAGGATTTTAGATAATAGCACATAAAGATAACCATGCAAAACCACCAGAATAATAGTTCTGTGATAAAATAATTATAGACACACAGCTACTCTGTGCCCCTTGACATCACTTTCTTCAAAAAGTCATCCTTATCCTCTACCATGCTGAGATTTCCTGATGTTCTTAAGAAGGGAAAATCATCACCAAATAATCAAGGATAATCAAATAACATTCATTCATTTAATGGCACTTTGCTGGGCCACAGAAGATAAATTACAGCTAATACACAGTCCTTGTATTCAAGTGCTTTACTGTGGTGGGCAGGGCCAGATAATCAGTAGGTATTCATAATACTTCAGTGTTGAAGGTCTACAAGAGGGATGAGCCATGGGAGTACCATGGGAGCACCCACAAAGGGCACCAAACCCAGCCTGAAGTCAGAGACAGTTTGCATAGGAGGTGGTATATGAGTCCTAAAATGTGAGCCATCACCAAGCAGGAGATAATTTTGAAAAAAACTGAAAGAGCTGGTAAAAGGAGAAGATAGGAAATTAGGTGAAGGACATTCAGAACTTCATGTTAGAATAGAATACCTGTCCTTAAAGGGAATGCAGTTATTAGTAGAAGATGAAAAAACAAATAATTTAATATGTACTTGAGATACAAGATACAGTGGAAGGCATGGTAGAGTCTAACCTTGATGGCAGAGATGGGTGAACGGGCAAACCTAAATAAACTCATTCAGGGCACAGATCATAAAGTAGAACAGTTTTTATCTTCAGCATTTAACACAAGTGTTCTGTACATAGCAAGCACTCAAATACTCAAAAGGTTAGTTATCTCTTTTAAAGTCTAAAACCATCTTGTCTTCATGACTACAAACTGAAAAGATGTTCTATCTTCTGAAACTTGAGATTATTTTAAGAACAAGGATAGGAAGTGAAATTTCTCTTTGAAATTGTATATGCTTTGCTAATACAGAAAAAAAGGTAATCTAAGAATAAGTCCACAGAAATTAAATTCTACAAGAGGAAAAGCCTAACCCAGATGGCTAAAGGCTGGTAACAAGGATGGTGTCAGGAGCAATGCAAATACATATAAAGACACAGAGTAAACATCCATGCTACGAGCCCACCACAATCCAGACAATATGCTGGTTTATGGGGAAACTAAGAGCCATGACACAGCCTCTCCCACCAACAGGTCACAATTGGATGAAGGAACTTAAGACTTCTGTGGAAATTATAATGTACTCTAAATAGAGGCTTGCAGAGGTTTGGAAATGACAACAAAAAGTGCAGAGGATTAAAGTACTTAAGTATGTCTAGAACGAACTCACAAAAAAATCTCTGCAATGATAATATCCAAACAGCTTTGAACAATGTAAGCACTCACTGTGAGAACTGGAGATAGATTTTCATGTTTGTCAGTCCATCTCACAGTGTAACAATGCTGAGAACCATGTGATCAAGAGAAGAAAACTCTCAAGTTACATGTATTTATTGAGTCTACCATAGGAATTGTGGTGGCCACATAAGAGCTGGAAAAAAGAATAAATCATGGCCCTGAATTTGAAAGCATCTTGTCCCAGATAAAGATAAAGTAACTACACAAAGTAAAGACTGTATAAGATATCACATGACCAGTGCCATAGAATAATATGAATATATGAAGAAAACCCCAAACAAATAAAAAACAAAAAGCAGTGCAATACAAATTACATTAGAGGTAGAAGGACGGTTAATATTTGCAGGATTTTAAAGGCTAGAGGGAATTTTGATAAATAGCAATGGCTGAGGAGTGAGGAGAACTTTCTAGCCAGAATACCTTAGTAGAAGAAACTGTCAGATTTGAGGAGAAGCCAACCAACAGGTCCACAGGAACACTGTCTAATATTTGGAGGTAATCACTTTAAATCTAGGTGGAGTCATTTCTCAAGGTTTCTTAAATCCCAGCCTGAGGAAAATGGACATTCTTCAAAGGGATGAAGGTTTGGAGAGCCAAAATGTAAAGGGTAGGACTGATACAAACAGTACTTAAAATAAATTAATGCTTTTGAAATGAAGCAAAGAAGATTGGCTATTAACTCACAACTAAACCATTAGAAAAATCTAGGCATGAAATAAAAAGACTGAATCCAAGGTTATGAAAGCAGGAATAGAGAAGGAAAATAAATATTGGGCAGCATAGGGTTTGGGGAGTAATAAAAACATTAAATAATAAAAATTATACTTAAGAGTTTTACCACAAAAGATGTCATTAAAAATGTGGCACAATTACCTAGTATCTATTTCCATGTACCCCTCCTAAATGATGTCTCCCTTCTTCACGCAATCAATGACATTCTTAAAATCACTTGCTTTGGACAAAATATCTCTGGTTTTATAGTCTAAAGCTGACTCTGCTCCTGCCTCTGCCAATGATTCAAGGAATGACCTTGGAGAAGTTCTGACTTTGCTGAATCTGGTTTGCTTTTGAGCACTCTGTAGGACTAATGCAGGTCATAACTAACCAAATCATGGCCAAAAAAAGCCAAGAGCCTTGGCGCTCCTACATCAATACAGAACTGTTCAGCAGAGTGGAAAGGTGGATTCCATCCCAAGCACAACAGACAGCCAGAGCCACTTGAAACAAAGCCAAAGCAAATGCCACCCAAAAACATGCTTCTGTTAATATCCCAATATCTCCACCTCCCTCACTGCTGCAGGTTTCCTTTTTGAGTCAATTTCGTAACAGTTAGGGTTCTTTACAATTTTATACAGAATCTCCATTTTCATATTCCACAGCTATCATTTCCTAACCAAATGTGAACAAAACCATTTCCAAAGTGAAAAGTCTTTGATTCATGATGAAATGTCCACTGCTGTCATTAAAATTGTGACAAAAGACTGGCACTTATTCTATAACTATCATTTTGCAAAATCATGATTTCAAATAAGCAATTCTAAAAGTGATGAAAAACTTATTTTTATACACTCAAATCTTATTTCAAAAGGCAAATTCTAATACACCATGAGTTTCTAATTTCTGTACAGAGGAATAATTTTTAAATATTTTATTAATCCCAAATTTGTTAAATTTGAAACCCATCAAAAAGAAAACTGAATGAACAATAACAAAACAATGCACATTTACTTTCAAAGGTACATAGTGAATCTAGTCAACTATAGATTAAAATTAAGAATTTGTTTCCAATTTCTTTTTGAAATAAAAATGCAATTGGTAAACTAAATCAACACCAAAACCCTTCCCACTATAGAACAGAAAAACAATGGGGACACATGCCCTTTCAGCCTTGCCACTGGTATAATGCCAAGATGAAAGGGAGAGAAGGAAAGGGAAGGGAGGAAGAGAAGGAGAGGGGAGGGAGGAAGAAAGGCAGGGGAGGGGAGGAGAAAGGGAAGGGGTAGGAGAGGGGAGGGGAGGGAAAGGATATAGGGAGGTGAGGGGAGAGGAAGGGAACCCAATTGTGATTGCAAATCTGCAATTGGGTTCAGGGCTGGAATTCACATTACCTCTGTGGCCTGTAAAATTCCCAAGCCAAAAATGTAGTTTCAAGTGTTCATGCCCTTAGTGTTGGTCCCTCCACTCTTCTCTATGTCTGATATATGTATATGTATACATATATGTATATGTGTGTATATAATTTCAGTGTATCTACTTATGACAGACTTATTTAGACTAATGATAGATAAATATATAAGATCAAACCTATTCCAATGACCATTTAAACACAGAAGACAAACAACATGCTAAATGACACCATAGGGTGGCAATCACCAAGATCTAGACTATGGCAAGGTTTTTAGTACAAATGTGGGAGATTTTTATTTTTAAAAAAATGGCTGGAAAATACCTCTTGCCTCATGTTTTTCTATCATGCAACCTTGCCATTCCCCTCATCAAAAAATGGATTCCTTCTTCACCCCCTCAAATGGAAGCCACTTCTATGACTACTTAGACCAACTGACTATGACAAAATAAAGAAATAAAGCTGTGCCAGTTGTAGGTATACCCATTAAATTGCCTAGCATCTTTCACTTCTTGATTCATGAAGTCGGCTGTCATGTAACAAGTGCAAATAACACCCCTACCATGCTATGAGAAGCTCAAACCACATGGAAAAGCCCTGGAAGATGAGACGCCATACAGTGGTGTGTGTGTGTGTGTGTGTGTGTGTGTGTGTGTGCATAGAGATAGAAAGAAGGAAAAAGACAGCTCAAGAATATCGAGGTGTTAAACATGTGAGGTATGTCAGTGAGGCTAATCAAATTTTTAGATGACATCAGCTCCTGCAACTATCTGACTGCAACTGCAGGGAAGACTTCAAGCAAGAACTGTCCTAAAGAGCCCAACCAAGTCAAACACAAGAGATGATTATAAATTGAGTTTGCTGTTGCTGTGTTAAGCCACTAGGTTGTCACACAACTTCTTATATGGCAAAAGGTAACAGAACAATGAACAACCTGGTTGTCCTTGACATCCACAAATAAATTCCAAAGGAAAAGAAACAAAAAACAAACCAATGGGACAAATCTATAGATAAAAGTTTATAATTAATCTAAAGTAATAATGTACAAACTTTATTTGGATTTGAATTTAACTGAATAAATTACATATTTAAAGTTTATTATGTTTATAACAGTAAGAAATTTAATATTAACTGCATATTTGATGGCATTGGGAATTTTTAAAATATATTTTAGGCTGATAATGGTACTGTGGCCATTTTTTTAAAAAGAGAGCTTGTCTTCAGAAAAACATGCTCTTTAAAATTTATGGATATATGTGGCATGTTATCTGGACTTCCTTCAAAGTATCAGAGAGAGGGGATAAAAAAATGAGGCTCAGATGACATAATATATGCCATGAGTGGATAATTATTGAAATAAATTATAAATATCAGGTTGTTATACCATTCTGTCTATTTTTATATTCCTAAAACTTTCCATCATAAAATAGTAATTTTAGATAGTGTTTTCAGGTTTGTAGGATATTTCTGTATCTTTTTCTAGAAGCAAATAAAATCTTCCCTGAACACTGTGCCATCCTCCACAGGTATCAACAATGATGTAGTTGAGACTTCAACATGCTGGACTCACAATACCCCAGCTTCCAAGCTTTGATGTACATCATCTCCAATACGCTTCAGGAACTTATCACACACTGCGTCAGTTCATCACTTAGCTTTCTCTCCCCCAAACCTTCAAAATCTAAACGTCTCCTTCTTATCCAAACCTTTTAATTTTACTTCTCTCTCACCATGATCCACAGTTCTATTTGGGTGGTTTATCAAAATTGTCCTCATCTCTCTTATTTCTCTGCCTAATGTGTTTCTACACTAGTCAAACAATTCCTTGCATTTCTGGGTTTTTTCCTTCTGCTATACTAGCAGTTCCTTCCATTCTTAGTAATTTCCTCTGCTGCTTCTGATGACAGCCTAATGCATCTTCATGCTTATTAATTAGTTAATATATGATATAAAGTACTTAGAGCATGGCCTGATTCACAGTGGGAATCCAATAAATAATAGTTCCTTTTAGTGTTATTATTCATCTCTCACTTTCCCAGAGGGTATTTTTGAAACCAATGTTACCTAAAAAAATCATTAGAGGTAGAGAAACATTAAATAAGGTAAGAACATTTTAGGTAGCCCTCTTAAAAGATATCCCAGACCACTAAAGTATTTTCTTTAGGCTCATGACAAAATCAATAGCTAATTAAAAAAAAAAAACTTAAAGTGAACAAAATAAAACATTTTATCCAGGCTAAATGGCAGTACTCTGAGGTAAATATCCAAAGACAAAAAATGTAAATGCTTACCAACAACTTATAACCATGAACTATCTTAATCATCTTTAAGAAGAAATCTTAAATGGTTCCCCACACAAAGAAATGACAAATGTTTAAGGAGATGGGAATATTAATTACCCTGATTTGACTTATTGTATCTTGTATATATGTATCAAATTAATACAGTAAATCCCATAAATATGTACAATTAAACCCAGCCTTGTGCATGCTAGGCAAGTGCTCTACCATTGAACTACACCTCACAACCCCTAAATTAGTTTTGAATGGAAAGAAATAAATCTGAGTTGATTTAACAGAGAGCAGGTACTCCGTATAGGTTAATTTAATCTGCGATTATCATTGTCTTCATTAAGGATAGTTAGCCACATTAAAATTAGAGGGATGACTGTGGCTAAAAAGTAAACTATTGTTTATATTTACTCTTTAGTAATGATGGACATATGATTTAAAACATTCTTTTCAAATTTAAGTGAGTTCTCCCTAAGGTATTGTATTGAGAATCTGTGTTCACACATGGTGATCTATGACTGACAGTCTTAAGGATCATTAGCTAAAGTATAACTCCCAGTAAAGCTCTCTTTGGTTTGAATCAGTATTACCAAATACTAAAGTCTTTATTTAGAAGGCAATAATAACCATTATTATGGACAGTTACCTTGAGTTTATGTTCTTTCCTGTTTACAATCACAGCTGTGATTTGTTGGTCCATGAAAATCAGAATGGTGACCAACAAAGCAGGAATAGCAGCGGCAAGGCACACCCACCAGGGGTTTCCTCCAAAAGGTGGAACAAACCAACCTCGGTTTGGACTTGTTGGCTTAAAGCAGAGAGAGAACATTTTTGAGAACCACGTGAAGTTAGTATGTGCTACTTGGTGAATAAAAAACAAAAACAATGATGATATGCACTTTTATTAGGGAATAATCAACATATTAAAAAATAGAAACAATTATAGGCTGGTGAAAGATTATTTACCAAAAATCTTCATAAAGGATGTTATTTTTGAGGTGGTTTTTTAAAAGAACTTTTATTGTTGTGCTGGGTGTAGTACATTGTGGCATTTACAAATGTTCTTACAATGTATCCTACTTGAATTTACCTCCTCCATCATTCTCTTTTACCCCTCCCACCCCTATTCCTAGAACAGTTTCAACAGGTATCACTTTTCCACTTACATACATTGCATACAGTATCTGCATCACATTCACCCTCTTATACCCTTTCCCTCCCTCCTCCTCCCTCCCATTTCCTTCCCTCCTCCCCCCTCCCATTTCCCTCCCTCCTCCCCCCTCCCATTTCCCTCCCTCCTCCCCCCTCCCCCTGGTACCAACCCCCCAGCAGGACCTGTTCCACCCTCCTGTTCTCTGATTTTGGAAATGAAAAAAAATGATTTTTTTTGTTTAAGATAGCTGCATGGAATGAATATAGAATTTTTAAAACTGTTGAAGCCACCATAAGAAGTAGAGTAAGGTAGAAAGAAGAAAAACAGAGGCGATGAATCAATTTGTGTTTGAGGTGTTTTTTTAAAAAGAAGGAGAGAAAGAATATGGGCTGTTGGAATGGCAGGGGATATCAATTTATGTATTTGAGATGATTTAAGGACTGAAGTTGGAAAAAAAGTGATTTAAATTTAAGGGAAAGTGAGGAGAAAAAAACCCAGATATAATATTCAATAAAGCAGTAGCAAGAAACTACAAAACCATTATGAATTTTGTTCATAAGTCTTAGAAATTTTACTGAAGTTGTTTCTACTACTGGCAAATTATAAATAGCTTCACAATATGACATATGAAGAACAATAAATATTTTATGTTATAATTAAACTAATTTAAACATTATGACCTCTTACTTTACATATGAAAAATGATTCAGAAGAACTGGTAAATACTTTCTCAGAAATATTGCAGGACACTGAAAAGAGTGGTCATTTTTTCAGTTCTCACTCTGTCATACATCATATATGTCTACTACAGAAAAAAATACTATGATTTCCTTACTCAAACAAAACAAATAAATTAAAATCTAAAGCTAACTATAAATTATTTTTTCTAGATTTCCTTTCAAGAATGTCCACTTCCTTTCTGAGAATATTTCCATCTTCTGTCTCACTTTGCTCATAACTCCATTGGTGCACCTATCTACCATTTACTACCTTTATCAGGTTCCATTTCAGATCCGAGGACAGATTCTGACTTAAAGCAAACATTTAGCTGGGTGTGGTGGCATACACCTATAATTTAAGCTACTTGGGAGATGGAGACAGGAGGACTGACATTCAAAGGTAGCCTAGACAAAAAGTTAGTGAGACTCTGTCTCAACAAACAAGCTGAGTGTGGTGCATTCATGTCTATAATCCCAGATACATGGGAGGTATAGACAGGAGGACTGCAGTCCAAGGCCAGCCCCAGGAAAAGAGCAGGAAACTATCTAAGAAATAACTGCAAAAAAAAAAAAAAGTAAAAGAAAAAAAAAGACTGGAGGCATGGCTCAGGTACCTGCCTAGCAAGCATGAGGCCTTATGTTCAAACCCCAGTTCTGCCCACCCTCCCCCTTCCCCAGATCAATACAGGTATGAGATTGTGGTAGGAGGATTGTGGTCTGAGTCTGGCCCATGCAAAAGAGCAAGATCCTACTTAAAAAACAAACTAAAAAGTAAAAGGACTAGGGGAATGGCTCAAGTAGTAGACAGCTTGCCTAGCAAGTGCAAGACCCTGAGTTCAATCCACAGTATTGTCAAAAAAAAGCATTTAATAAATATTGACTTAAATGAATTAATGACTGAATGAGAATGTATCTTTGCTGATGAATACATGATGGTGGAGACAATACCAAAAATATCATTTGCTGTCTCCTATATAGTCCTTCTTCATTAAGTAAAAATATACTAAACTAAAACTGTAGATGGCTTAAAATTGGTTAAAATCACATGTTGTGATCCCCATTGCTCTAGAAAACAGGTGGAAGACTTGTAATGGGAAATTAGCTAGTGATATAATTAGGAATGACTGAAATGTAGATTTTATTCATTACAACTGCATATACAACAGGTTCATAAAACAAGAGTTACATCTTTGCAACAATTAAAATTCACATTATAAATAAATATGTCTGGCAGGTAATTTATTAGTATGAAAAGAGCATTGAATTAAGAGCTAGAGGCTTGAGTTCTAACTTCACTTCCTGACTCCACTAGTGAAGGGATCATGGATATTTTATTAAATTTCTATGTGCTCCAATATCAACTTTATAAAATAAGTTATGTTGCATACTTCCCACAATTATTATATGGATCAAAGTAATAAGGTATATGAAAAATCTTCAGATATTTTAAAATGTTCTAAAAATATATGAAAGAGCTTGTAATAAGTTGTTTTAAAATAAAAATCAATGCAATATGAACCTTGCATTTGATCCTAGATTTGGCATTTAATTTTGGTGCAGAAATTAAACTATATAAGTGAGTCCCACAAAGGACTGCTTTTGAAAAAAAGAAAAAAGGACTGTGCAAAGATGACTGAAATAGAGTCACAATAAACCAGGATAGGGGAAAGAAAAAGTTGAAGAGTAAGATAGATGTCTGCTTACCTTAAACTCACTTGGCACAATAAGTTTTGGAGTATCCACACCTACTAGGGCATCTATTCCACAAAATATGAGAATGGACAAGATAATGGCAAAATCGCTAATTAGTTTTCTTGCCTGAAAAAAAAGAAAGAAGGGACTATTTAGCGTAAAATACACGTATTTTTCCAGGTTTGAATTGAGTAAAGAAATCTGTATTTGCTAATAACTTAAAATAATAGTTTTATCAACAAATTATCACTGGGCAAGACATAATCTGATCCCCCAAAACAACAGGCCTCTGTGTGTGTGTGTGTGTGTGTGTGTGTGTGTGTGTGTGTGACAGAGAGAGAGAGAGAGAGAGAGAGAGAGAGAGAGTGAGTGAGTGTAGGCAAGGAAGGTCACTCAAAAATATATTCCTGACATATACCATGCAAGTACTTGCCCTGTGTGCCAAATGAAGGATACTTGGATAAGGGTGAAATCTAAGCACACATTGCATGAGGAAATAGAATTCCACTTATTTGGAAGGCAGCACTGTAATAAATAATATAATCCCATAAAGTAACCTAAAAACACCACACATCTATGATGGCAAGGATTGAAAGTTGCAGTCCACTGAGCAAGGTAAATATCAGGTCTCAATAAAGTCAAGTGATGGAAGACGGAAGTATGAAGGATACACTACCTTTGTCAAAGAAATATTCTTCACTCCAGGCTGGTGCTTAATGTCTCGTGTATGTGGGGTGTCTCTCCTCCACTACTTAAGAGTAGCTACCATTATCTGATCATCCTCCAAATTCCTAAGTGTTTGCCTCTGGTCAGAACAAGGGCCAGCTTTATGGGATGCAGCATTAAACCCTGTCCTTTACCATGAAGTGGGTGCAGAATGGCCACTTATAAGTCAAAACAGGAGCACTGGGCCATTTGGTTGCATGGAGGTTGCTGCATCCTCCACAGGTACTGCAAGAAGGACTAAGTTTCTCATAAGGAAGATACACATAGTTGCGTGTAATGTGATGCTTCCACAAGAATTTACTCAGTTCCTAATATTTTGCTTGGTGCTAAGGACACTATATTGAGTAAGACAGACACAAACTGTCTTCATGAAGTTTAGATTTAAGTTATATACATCAAATTAGGGTTGATTCAGACACTATCAAGTTATCTCAGGAAGAGTGATCAGTTTTTTGATGCTACTAAATACAATACACAGTCCTCAGAATAGAGGGGCTCCTAAAAGAGATTTGAAACTAAGATAGTCAGGTACTCAATATAAACTGAAGTGAAGAGTGGAAATTACTATCTGGCAGGGTGGGTATACTAAAAGGCGTAATGTTTAATTCTTGACTATTATCAGGTGTCAGGTACAAATCCTCAACAAGTTCATAGGTGCTTTTTCTTGGGGGGATGGGGGGACAGGATCTGCTTTGCCTCTTGGAGGACCAGAGACTGCTAATTTTAGTTTCTTGAGAAGAACACACCAAAAGAACTAAGGATCAGTTATAGTACCTTTAGGGACAAGTTAACACCAATTACACACAATAATATCAGGAACAAATACATGGCAGGGATTGATTTGGGGCTAAAACAGGATAGTTACTGTAGTCAGATTACCTGCATTAGAATTACATTATTTATAGTTTATGAATATTTACTCTTTATTAGATTCAATTAGTTCAGATAAAAAAAAGAGCCAAAACAATATCTACAACTTCACTGATTTGTTATAAGAATTAACTACGATATGGCATTAAAGTGCCTAACGTAATGTCTATATAACTATAGTTATATTACATTCCAAAAGGCTCCTTGGCTGCAGAGACCACTCAAACAACTAAATCATTTAGTGTCAGGAGGACTTTGAAATGAACCTTTAATTCCAAGAAACAAGACTAAAAGCCCAGGAATAATAGTCATCTGCTAAATTTTGTTGGAATTAACGCAGAAAAAAGGAAAAAAGGGAGGCTCCCAGGGCTTCGATACTGGAAGAAACGCTCATTTCTTAAATTGTGTGCAAATGGTATTAACAATGGTAGCTCAGGATAGTCTGGCAAAAGATGTCATATGGAGTAGTTTCAGTAATATGTTGGCATGTTACAAGCATCCCTCTTGTCCAATAGATCATAAGTCGCTGCAGGACCAAAGGTCATTGCAAAAGCAAAAAGAAGTTATCTCTTATTTATGTCTCTACCAGTCCTCACCCAGCAAATCACACTCAATCAAATATCCTGTAATTTATCCAAGGGACGGAAGCAGTTTTTAAAAACATGGTATCCCCATTCCTTTCCTTCCCCTCTCCTCCCCTCCCTTCCCCTCCCCCTCCCTTCCCATTTTTTTTTTTAATACACAGAAAAGGGTAGCAAATGAATGTACTCTGCTGTTCTTCGGTAGAAATTCCCATAGGACCTATATCTCCACTCTGCTAGAGGACAGACTTGCTTGATGGGAATCACTGTCAGGCAACTAAGAAATGCTGCTCCTTTAGTTGGGAGAGAAGGCATTTTCAACATTCCATGAGATGACTATCCTGAGAAACAAACATGGCAAACTGAACATCATCGAGGGCCCAAATTGCAGTGCTTCTAACTTGGTCCTACATAATCCATGAGACTATGAGGTCAAGGCACATGACCACAAGAATCAACAGTATCATGGGTGAAAGAAAATACCCATGATACAATTTTAAGAAACTATTCGAGGTAGACAATATCTAAAGAAAAAACAATATTCCTTTCATACCAACATATAGTATTTTGAGTGTCATTTATACAAATGTACCACATTTGTAAAAAGCTATTTAACTATATACTTATGACCTGTACATTTTACTAAGTAAATTATATCTCAATTTAAAATATACTCCAACCAGTCAAAAAATCCAAATCCAAATCAATATTGTCTTTTCAACTATTCTCTTTGGGTAGTTATTCATTTATTTCAATGATGCTGCTTTGGGTAGTTATTCATTTATTTCAATGATGCCGCTTTTTTCCAAATAATTTAAAAATTCCTTTTGTAATCTTATTGAGCAAGGATAGATGTTTGAAAACTCACAATAAACAGACATATCTGAAGTATCTTGATTCTATCTTCTTTGAAATTGTTATTTTTTCTATTTCAAAATTAATATGTTTGTTATAGTACATTTAGGGAAAAAATAGGCAAAATGTTTAGCAAATCCACTATCTAAGAATAATCTTTAATATTTACAAATATATCCTCCTTTTGTGTGTATATATATATGTTCACATATATGTATATGCGTATATGTATATATACACATATAGTTTTTCACATTCTGTTTTACATGTCCCTTTTATCACTTTTTTCTCATTTTACATTTTTTATAATATTGAGCATTAATGATACCAGAGTATTATGCTGAATGGATATTCCAATGTATTTAATATCCCACTGTTTAGATTGCCTTTAACTTTTCAGTATAATAAACAATATCATAAAGAAATCTTTGCAAATTATTCTGACAATGTGTATATTAAAATCTAAGGCTTTTATACATTATGCCAAATTTCCTTCTAGAATGTTATATTAATTTACCAATTTTCACTGTGCCCAACAATATATGAATGACTGTGGATAGTGTTAAAAGTTAAACCCATACTAAAAGGGAAAGCAATTTGCTGCCACTGACAATATTCAAAAGAATATAAAATAGTCAACTTTAGTAAAACAATAATTTCTGTAGCTTAACAAAGCAACTGAATCTCTTGCTCCCTTCTGAATTATCATATTTAATACAGATCCTACATAAATATATCTCTCCCTAAGGATGACATTAATATTTATTCTCAAAAGTAACTCATCAAAACTCATAAACCAAATATTCCATGGATAAAGTACACACAGAACTGCTAATGGATACAAAGCACACTTTGAGAGCAGGACATTGGTACGGTAATAGTCTAGTCAGCCAGTGTAATTTTTCAAAAGCCAAATGATTGGAATATACCAGTTGTCATGCTCCAATCTAGGAATACTTTGACATTCTGAAGACATTTTGGAAATTAAGTCTATTGGATTTCCAGGCTATTCTGACTTCTTTGCAGGTTTCTCCCCAACTCCTCCAAATTCTTCAGGTTGGAATGTTTTAGAGTTCAGACATTGATTTCTCTTCTATTTATACTCTTGGTGTAAGTGACCTCATTTAGTCTCATGCTTATATCTCCAGGACAGACCATTCCCTTAAATTCCATAATCATCTGTTTAACTACCTGACGACCTCACTTAGATTTCTTATAGACATCAAAACAACATGTCAAAATAAGTGCTTGATCTACCCTAGCTCCTCTTCCCCAGCCCAGCCTGCCTCACCACGGATATGCTAAACCTCCTATTTTTTTAGTTGCTTTCTTCATCTTAATTAATGGCAGCTTATTTTTCTTCTATGTTCAGTCAAAAACTTTGGACTCTTCTCTTTTTCTCTTATCATACACCAAATTAAGTTAGCAGATTATCTTGAAAATATATCTAGCATTCTATCACTTTATCTCATATGGTTTACTGAATTAGCTTCCTATATAGTTTCTCCCTCTTTCTACATTTGACCCTCTTCAGTATTCTTGTCAATGGAGCACTCCAATAAATCATGGTACAATTTAAGTCAAATAACGTGGTAGGCAGAATAAAGTATAATGTGTCCCTAATGATGTCCACATGATAACTTCCAAAACCTGTGGATATGTAATGTAAGGTGGCAAAGAAGAATTAAGGTTGAAAGCTGCTAAGTAGTTGACCTTGATAGTGGGGACATTAACCTAGATTATACAGGTGGGCCAATGTAATTACAAGTGTCCTTGTAAATGAAAGAGGGAGACAGGAGAGTCAGTATCAGAGTGAAGGGGCAGAAGAACTTAACCAGCCACTGCTGACTTTGAAGTTGAAGGAAGGGGCCATGTATTAAGGAATGCATGCAATCCCTAGAAGTTGGAAAAGGCAAGGAAATGCATTCTCCCTTGTGGTCAGAAGGAACACAGACCTGCCCACACCTTCATTTACTGGTCATTTTATCCCAGTAAGACCAACTGTAGACTTCTTACTTCCACATCTCAATTTTGACCTCAAGATCAGGTCTATTTAAAGTTTGTTGTTCTAAGTCACCATATTTGTGGTAATTT